CATGGGCAACCAAGCCGTTTGTTTGTGAACTGTTTCGTTTTTATAGGACAATGTTTGTTGTATAGTCTAAGTAATTTGTTAAGAAAAATGTCTGTCCAGTCATCAATACCATTGGCCTTGGAGAATTCTGTAGGCCAGTCAACAGTCTCTAGGTCAGCTGTGAACTTCCTTATTGAGGCCTCATCATTGAGTCTAAATGAAACTTTGTTGTATTCAAGTGGTGGTTTACTAATGTTTGTCAAGAGGAAGGTAGGGTAGTGGTCTGTAGTGCTATCTGTGATTATCCCTGATTTAAGGGGGGCTAGTATATTGGTCCATATGTGGTCTATTATGGTTGCACTTGTTTCAGTGAGCCTGGTTGGTTTAGTTATTGTTGGTATGAGAAGTGTGTTGTTCATATTGTTGATGAAATCAGTTACAGGCTGATCATCTAGTAGGCCAAGGTTGATGTTGAAGTCTCCAGCTAAGAGAGGGTGGTGCTTATTCATTTGTCTGTTTGTTATTAGTGCCTTTAGTTTCTCACTGAAATTTGGGATGTTTGTGTGGGGTATCCGGTAAATGGCACCGATTGTTATAGGCGTCTTAAGGTTTTTTACAGTAAAATTAGCAAAAATGTACTCTCCATATTCATCACTAATGCAAGTGGTGCTAATAGATTGCAATAGAGTAATAGATTGCAATACCACCCCCAACTTGGTATGGTCTGCAGCTGTGGATTGCTGTGTATCCTGGTAGAGGGTAGATATCTATTATGTCCTGCTTAAGCCAGGTCTCAGTAAGAATAATGCAGGAGAAGGGTGTCTTTAGTGATTCAAGGAGTGCCAGGAGGTCATCATAGTGTTTGCTTAAGGACCTAATGTTGTAGTTAAGTACTGATAGACTTTTAGCATTGTTTAGCATGACTCAAGAAATCGTAATGACACGATTGCAAACAAACCATACCCCCGGCCGGGATTGAACCCGCGGTCATAGAGTCTCAAAACTCCAGCCCGTCGCGTTAGCCACTAGACCAGCTAGCCACAATAAGATTCATCCAACTAGGTATATTTCTACACCATAGGAAGGTTAGCACTGGCACCACTGTGACCACAATCGTGTCATTACGATTTCTTGAGTCATGATGACGGCAGTGAAGGGACTTGAGCTAGAGTTCGTCACGGCCACGCTAGCTGGAGATTCGTCTGTAAAAACTTGCATTTGTGGTCACAGTGGTGCCTGTGCTAACCTTCCTATGGTGTAGAAATATACCTAGTTGGATGAATCTTATTGTGGCTAGCTGGTCTAGTGGCTAACGCGACGGGCTGGAGTTTTGAGACTCTATGACCACGGGTTCAATCCCGGCCGGGGGTATGGTTAGCATTGTTTAGGATAGTGCTGGCTTGTGATGCTGTGTAGTAAAGGCAGTTACTTTCCAATAGGTTTTGATTGTGTGTCAGATTATGGAGGTTTAGATCAGGGTTGACGTGATCAATCATCTTCTAGGTTTAAATTATGGTTATTTATATCCTGAGTTGTGGGTTGAGTTTTAGTACTGATATCTGTAGTGGTGGGAAGTTTGGACAAGTGTATAGCTATAGCATTTTGGTCATGTAGAGTATAGTCACTAATACACATAATGGAGTTGGTGTTGTCTATGTGTTGTGCTGGAATGAGCTAAAGTACAACTAGGTATAAACTAATAATATAAAAATACAAATTAAAAATAGCACAAGACTCTCACTTGTAATTGCACTAAGGTCTAATGTAATGACTTTGGTATAGTCTATGTACTGAGCTAGAATGAGCTATAGTACAACAAGGCTTAATCTAATAATATAAAAATACAAATTAAAAATAGCACCAGACTCTCACTAGTAATTACACTATGGTCTAATATAATGAATTTGGTATTGACTATGTATTGAGCTACAATGAGCTATAGTACAACCGAGTTTAATCTAATGATATAAAAAAGGCACAAGACTCTCAATTGTAATTGCACTAAGGTGTTATATAAATTGTTTACAAGAATTAGAGTATAACTAGATTTAAATTGACAAGATAAAATATGCAAGTTAGGGTAGCAAAATAATAAAAAAGGTAGAAAAAAAAAACTCTGTCGAACTGCTCGGTGTTATGCCAAATATTATTCATTCTGGAGTATTTAACATGTTTTATGTTATTTATATTGTTTCTTATGTCATATTAGATCAACTGTGATAGGCAAATAAGCTGTAGTGTTGATATTAGCATAATAATAAAGCATATTCTCCTGCTTCATGAGACTGAGCTCATGGCAACCGACAGTGGCTTCAAAGCCACCTTATCTTTAATGGATAATGTACTGTGTAGGTGCTTTACATAACGAGAAGCATTTCTTTTATTCATTGGAACCATGGCTAGGGCTAAAAGTAAGCAAGTTAAAACAATAAATGGAGAAAAAGAAATTGGAATGACTTCTGTAGCAAGTAGCGCCACCAAACAGTACCAGCAGGTTGGTGTGGCGACCCTGGAAATTTGAAATTATGCTAGCCAAAATTAGTGCCGAATAACTGAAGGAACCGAATAACTGATTGCCGGATTTGTGATGGCGGACCTGTATGGCACCTGAACATACTTCTGGAATGAAATAATATCGTAAACCGGGGGTCCACTGTATCAGAGGCATAATCATAATCATGAGAGACAGAACTGTCACAGCAAGATGTAGAGTGAGAAAGTGTTAAGCCAAACAAGTATTGATTCAAGCACTGAGTGGCTGTCAGGCAAAAACAAAAAATGCATTTGATGATAGGTCAATCAGTAATGTGATCAACAAACACTCTAGAACCAAGGTCATACATCAAACCTTGTTTTGCAGAACTTCAGAGTTCTACATGCTGACAATTCAAATTATCCTCTGAAGGGCATTTTCACTTCTCTTTCACACTGCAGGCACTATACTTCACACCTGGAGGACTCAAGTCCAGCTAATCAGTTTTCCCAAATCCCTTCATAAATATTCACTTGCTCACACTCCAACAGCATGTCAGGTATAAAAGCCACTTGTTTTCATTCACTCCAAAATGACACACACTCACAAGCTTGTTAGATGTTCAAGCCCCCAGCACTCAAAACTTTCTTTATCCCTCCCTCCTAACCCTTCCTGGAATGACCCTAACTCCTCTTCCCTTCCACCCTGATTTACAGTCATCCTATTCTGCTTCCCCTCTAAATGCTCAACCACCCCAACAATCACTCCTCTGCCCTCTTGAAATATACCTGTGATAACCACATATTGTTTTCTGATTTCTGCTCTCTGAATTATATGCATAATATTAACATCACACACTGTTCTTAAACAATGGTATACCTCTGTACTTTAGAACATTTTCTTACTCTCCATAAATAAACCATTTTCATAAATGCCTCAACACACTACCTCCTCCTTCCCTTATCAATTCTATGGTTTGCCTCGTCTTTCACAGACTCATCTGCCAACAAGTCCACTCCCATATAACTAAATACACTCACTTCCTCCATACTCCCTCCCTACAATCTGATATCCAATCTTTCATTTCCTAGGCTTTGTGTGACTCTCATACCTTGTTCTTTACTATATTCACTTATAATTTACTTCTTCTTTTATATTATCATTATTATTAATAATTTTTTAACACTCTAGCTGTCTTTCACCTAGGTAGAGCAACCCAAAAAAGAAACACTTTCACCATCATTCACTTCATCACTGTCTTGCCAGAGGCATGCCGATACTACATTTCTGATGCCCCTTTGAGTTAAGTTTCTTTAGTGATTTTCTCTCTAATATTTGAATTAAATTTTTTTTTTATTATTTTGCCATCCTAAATATAGTAGAACTAAAAATATCTGATATATTAGATAGGACCTAAATTATTTTGTAAGTAAAGATTTTTCACAAACTTGTAGGGAGACTCCAGGAATGCCCAAAAAATATAAGAGAAAAAATATTGCCTATATACCATACAAATAATTATAATACCGTACTACTTCTAAAGCTTACCAAGGTCATGTCGTTGTTCTGTTGTTGTAAACTGCTGTTATTTAATCACCAAAAATATCCTGGTATCCTTCAGCTGAATCTACATAACACAACAATGCATCCAACACAATGTGACCTACAAAAATTAAGCAATGTTTTTTTTTTTTTTTTAATTATCACACTGGCCGATTCCCACCAAGGCAGGGTGGCCCGAAAAAGAAAAACTTTCACCATCATTCACTCCATCACTGTCTTGCCAGAAGGGTGCTTTACACTACAGTTTTTAAACTGCAACATTAACACCCCTCCTTCAGAGTGCAGGCACTGTACTTCCCATCTCCAGGACTCAAGTCCGGCCTGCCTGTTTCCCTGAACCCCTTCATAAATGTTACTTTGCTCACACTCCAACAGCACGTCAAGTATTAAAAACCATTTGTCTCCATTCACTCCTATCAAACACGCTCACGCATGCCTGCTGGAAGTCCAAGCCCCTCGCACACAAAACCTCCTTTACCCCCTCCCTCCAACCTTTCCTAGGCCGACTCCTACCCCGCCTTCCTTAAGCAATGTGTGTACGGTATTTTCACCCCATATGATAGTCATTTTTTTAATATGCTAGCTGTCTCCCACCAAGGCAGGGTGACCCAAAAAAGCGAAACTTTCACCACCATTCACACTATCACTGCCTTGCCAGAGGTGTACAGATACAACAGTTTAGATGCCCCTCCAAACATCAAATATCCCATAACCCTCTCTTCAGAGTGCAGGAATTGTACTTCCCACCTCCAGGAGTCTAGTCCAGCTAACCGGTTTCCCTGAATCCCTTCAGAAAATATTACCTAGCTCACTCTAAAAGTCTGTCAGGTCCCAAAAACCATTTGTCTGCACTTACTCTTATATACCTCTAAATCTGGTCTTCTTTAACCCTCTAATTGTCCAAGCGTAGATCTAATTGTCCAAACGTAGATTTACGTTTGGACAGTTTAAGGGTTAAACAACATCTAATGTAACTTAAACTTACTTGTGGTTCATTTCCACCCATTTCTCGCCTCATTCGCACCATCAGTTCATATACTTGTTTGGCTGCTGGTCCTTTGCCATATATATTAGGAATAAGACCGAAGATACCCTGGATGGTCATGAGAGCCTGAGCCACCAGGAAGACACTGGTCGGGTCACTGTCCAACTTCAAATCCTAAAACAAAAAATCATTCAACTTATTTATGACTATTTTATTGAATTACAGTGTTGAAAAAAGTCTTGTGTAAGAATTATTAATGGTATGACCATATATAACCCCTTCTCCTGTATACATTACTAAATTAAAAAAGAGAAACTCTCGTTTTTCTTTTTAGGTCACCCTGCCTCAGTGGAATATGGCTGGTTTGATGAAAAAAATTATCATATATAATTTACTGGATTAAATTAGGTTGAAAAATATAATAAATGTCTTCTTGCTACTGTATCATACAATAATTTTTACTGTAAAAGATAAAATACAACTATGTAGTATACATTAATTATACATGTAATTAATATATAGTATAACACATGCAAATCTAAAATAACTGAAGGTTTTAGATTTTAGTTCAAATAAATACAATATAGTACTGTACAGTGCTTGTGGCATTATGCCCCCCCCCCCACACATACCAAAACACAAACACATACATACCATGAAAGATTATAATATATATATTTGCATACTTACTGAGGTTTTTAATATTTGGTGCTGCGTTCTTTATGCTTAATCACGTCCCTCAGCCATGTATGGAGACTCTCACACAAATTCTTGGGGGTTTGGAGATGTATATCATTCGATGCCTCATGTAGAGCAGCCTCCAGTCGCGGGATGGAACTGATATCCTTACCCAGTAAACTTCATTTTACTATTGACCAGAGGTTCTCAATAGGGTTTAGGTCTGGGGAATTGCTTGGCCAGTCATTAAAGAACCTCACTTCACAGTCTTTAAGCCACTGAAATACAGATTTGGTGGAATGACACGGTGTGCTGTCCTGCATAAAAACTGTAGCCCTACACCTGTCAAACACCTCAGGTAAATTGTCACACAATAACTCCAGGTAATTATACTGGTTCATATACTGGTTTTTGGGAAGCACAATGAGTTTACCAACACTCTGAGCACTGAAACACCCCCAAACCATGAGCAAGTCTGGGTGTTTGGTGGTCCCACATGTGTAGCGTGGGTCTAGCGAGTCACTTTCTCTGAGCCAGTACACACGTTCACCATGATTACAGGTGACAGTGAAGGTTGCTTCATCACTCCAAAGTACTTCAGACCAGTGTTGAGGATTTCAGTGGAGATATTTCTTTGCATAATCCAGCCTACATTTCTTCTGTGGCTTGGAGAGGATCGGTTTCTTAACCTGGCGGTGACTACTGTAGCCCAATTCTGACACACATCTGCTAATAGTTCTTACAGACACCTCTGAGAAAAGATGTGGGTTCTTTTCTTTCAATTCTCTAGCAGTTATCTAAGGTGTACTCTCTAACTGCTTCTTCAACAGTTAAAGTACAAACAGATGTCTTCGAAGGGCCAGGCCGAGGTTTGGCAGACGGTATCTCGACACCACCGCCAGCCTTGAAACGCTGTACCCAGTTCCTCAATGAACGCTCACACACACACAACATTCTCCACTATTTCTTTCATCTGGTGCCCAGCTTTGTGAAGCCCTATGATTTGAGCTATAGTTTCAGGTGTTAAAGGCTTCCTTTTACCCATAATCAAACATGTATAGCCCCAAAACCAAAGGGAACACCAGACAAAAGATGGGGCAGATGAGAGACAAAAGTGCAACACTTCCTCTCACCACAGCAGCCACATTAGCACTGAGGAGTCACTGTGGAGTGTGGTGGCAGGCCGTGACGTAATGCTAATGGCTGTTACCCGGCATAATGCACTGACAAAAAAAGACCCCCCTGTATGGTAGGCCTTTGATTTTCATCATGGCATTATGCAGGGGCACTCACCTGGCATAATGCCATGACGAGCACTGTATGTACACATCTGGCTGAACATTTGGTGTAGTAATTTTTTAACTAATAAAAACTTACCCTATAACAGTATGGTAATTCCATGGATACCAGATCAGATTCCAGTCGAAAGAGCAAGAGTGGCAGCTCTCTAATGGATGCAAATGATCCTCGTACTCCATGTTCTTGTAGTCGACGCTCACACAAGAGAGAGATCCTTGGTACCAACCAGAGATGATAGTCCTTCTTTATACTACTGCTTTTAATATCTTCCCTGTGTTGATGCAATACAACATTGGTACACAAGTAGTTTAGTGTTTTCTAAGGCTGGTTGGAAGGCAAAATGCCAACAAGTAGGGCAATACAAAGGCACTTATAGAAGAGCAAACATTTATTTAAATGTTGAAAATGCAATACCATGGCTGGAAATAATTTACTAATACACTGCGACTTGACAATGATCCAGGATGGACTGAAACATTGTCTTAAGTGTTTCCTAAGTGTGGGTTATTCGTGATCCAGAAATTTTACTAAAGTTAAGCAGACCCCCCGCTTAATACACAAATACAGTGGACCCCCGGTTCGCGATGCCATCGGTATCCGATAAATCCGGTATTCGATGCATTGTATCGCAAAAATTTTGCGATACAGGCCACACGTGTCCACGTGTGGCCTGAACTGCCCCGTGTGTGCCAGTGTTTACAAGCCAGCTAGTGTGCTCGCATCTAAGGATACATTCGGTACATTCCATATTATCACAGTGTTTTTGGTGCTTGTTTCTGCAAAATAAGTCACCATGGGTCCCAAGAAACCTTCTAGTGCCAACCCTTCAAGACCAAGGGTGCTAATGACTATTGAAATGAAGAAAAAGATAATTGCAAAGTACGAAAGTGGAGTGTGTGTGTGTCGGAGCTGGCCAAGTTTTATACAAAACCCCAATCAACCATCTCCACTATAGTGACCAGGAAAATGGCAATCAAGGAAGCTGTTGTTGCAAAAGGTGCAACTGTGATTATTTAAACAGCGCCACAAGTGTTAGAAAATGTTGAGAGACTGTTATTGGTTTTGGATAAATGAAAAACAGATAGCAGGAGATAGCGTCTCTCAAGCGATTTATTTGTGAAAAGGCTAGGCAGTTGCATGACGATTTGGTAAAGAAATTGCCTGCAACTAGTGGTGATGAGAGTGAATTTAAGGCCAGCAAAGGTTGGTTTGAAGATTTAAAAATCGTAGTGGCATGCATAGTGTGATTAGGGATTGGTGAGGCTGCCAGTTCAGACCACAAAGCGGCCTGAAAAAAAATGTGCATGAATTCAAGGAGTACATAGAGGTTCAGCTGAAGGATTGAAAAACCCGGACCAAGTTTTTTAATTGTGATGAAACAGGCCTGGGTTTTTGGGAAAATTTTCCAGCAGGACCTACATTGCTCAGGAGGAAAAGGCACTCCCAGGACATAAGCCTATGAAAGACAGGCTTACTCTTCTGATGTGTGCCAATGCTAGTGGTGATTGCAAAGCGAAGCCTTTATTGATGTATCACTCAGAAACTCCCAGAGCGTTCAGGCAAAAGAATATCCTCAAGGCTAATTTGTGTGTGCTGTGGAGGGCAAACACTAAGGCATGGATCACTAGGGACTTTTTCTATGACTGGTTACACCATGCATTTGCCCCCAATGTGAAAAATTGCCTAACTGAAAAGAAATTAGACCCTAAGGGGGCTGTAGGGCAATTTTCCGCGCACGCTCACCTAAAAATCGAAAAAATATGGAAATTGAGTTATATATACTGAAAAATAGCTCAACTCTTTGGCAACACAATGGTACCAGAATGAATGTTCTACGACATTTCTACAAGAAATTATAGTCATTTATATCAGGTATGGTGATGGCGATGACCTTAAGTGTCTCCTGGTATTAGACAATGCCCCTGGTCATCCTACAGATTTGGCAGAGCAACTTTCTGGGGACTTGAGCTTCATTAAGGTCAAGTTTTTGCCTCCTAATACCACTCCTCTCTTGCAGCCCATGGACCAGCAGGTCATTTCTAACTTCAAGAAACTGTACACAAAAGCTATGTTTGAAAGGTGCTCTGAAGTGACCACAGATACTCTATTGACTCTAGAGGAGTTTTGGAAGGATCACTATAATATCCTCAATTGTGTAAACCTTATAGGTAAGGCTTGGGAGGGAGTGACTAAGAGGACCTTGAACTCTGCCTGGAAAAAACTGTGGCCAGAATGTGTAGACAAAAGGGATTTCGAAGGGTTTGAGGCTAACCCTGGGAATCCTATGCCAGCTGAGGAATCCATTGTGGCATTGGAGGGAAATCCTTGGGGTTGGAGGTTAAATGGGGAGGATGTGGAAAGAGTTGGTGGAGAAGGACAATTACAAACTAACCACTGATGAGCTGCTAGATCATCTTCAACAGCAGAGGCCAGACCTGAGGAAACTGCTTTGGAGGAGGGGATGGAGAAATTGAAGAAGTTGCCTACTTCAAAGATTAGGAAATGTGTGCAAAGTGGCTTGAAGTGCAAGCTTTTTTGATGAAAATTTACCCTCACACAGCTACTGCAAGCCCTGTTGGGAACCTGTCAATGAAATCGTTGTGAAGCACTTTAGGAAAATTTATACAGGAAAGAGAGGTACAGGCCTCTATGGACAGATATGTTGTGCGACAGAAGTCCAGTGACTCTCAAGCTGGTCCTAGTGGCATTAAAAGAAGAAGGGAAGTAACCCCGGAAAAGGACTTGCTACCTCAAGTCCTAATGGAAGGGGATTCCTCTTCTAAACAATAGGTTTGACACTCTCCCCTCCTCCCATCCCATCAATCATCACCAGATCTTCATTAATTAAAGGTAAGTATCATGTATTCTATTGTTAGTAGAGTACATACTACAAACTGTGCATGTCTTCTTCAGTTTGTGCGCATTAAACTTAATATTTCATGCGGTAAAAGTTTTTTTTTCATACTTTTGGGTGTCTTGCACGGATTAATTTGATTTCCATTATTTCTTACGGACCTGCCTAGTATGGGCCAACAGGCCTGCTGCAGTGTTCCTCCTTTCTTATGTTCTTATGAAAATTGATTCACTTTCCGATAATTTTGGTTTACGATGAGCTCTCAGGAACGAATTAATATCGCAAACCGGGGGTCCACTGTAATCCGCACATGGGAGAGAGGAGCTTATGACATTTCGGTCCAACTTGGACCATTTACAAAGTTGTAAGCTCCTCTCTCCTATGCGTGGGTTATTTGTGTACTGTTCCAGTCACAATACTGTGCCTTTCTGTTATTTAAGACCCCCTTAAGCAAAACATCTATATGTATAATGGCCCACTCTGCTGTGTTTCTGTATTACTAAACTGTATTGATAATTCCCTTCCTTTCCCAACCACATGAAATTAAGTAAATAAACAAAGATTTCTTGCTGTCAGTTCTGAAATATGTTATAACAGAGTGAGAGCACACATGCTTTTGCATCATTTTCCAAAACCGATAAAGTAAAATAAGATTGACGGATGAAGTGAAAGAGGTTTTGAATAGAACAGACTTGAGTGTCAGCAGGCCTCATAAGAGAACAGGTTAGACTGAAGAGAGTGAAAACAAGTGGTTTTAGATGTGACATGCTACTGAGGTGCAAGGAAGGTTACATTTATAGATGTACTCAGAGAAACCAGTCAGGGGCATTGTAAGGGGGGCCCGGGGGGGCAAGGGGGGCAGGGGGGGGGCAAGGGGGGCAGGGGGGGCACCCCGGGTGACACCATTTAGGGGTGACACCATTTAGGGGTGACACCATTTAGGGGTGACACCATTTAGGGGTGACACCATAAAGCCTCTAAAGAAAGTAACACTAATGACCAAAACCATGCTGCAGCAACCTAAGAGAAAAATCCTTTGTTTCTAAATAGCCTATTATAGGATTACAGAGTACAAATAGGCCTAAACAGGGAAAATAATTGATTTTGATGATGTGATAGATGATTTTGCAGGATTGAAGGCAAGGAAATGAAATGTCAGATTCACTGAGATGTTACCTGTACTCAAGGTTAAATCAGAACTAGTTATTTTTCTTTATTATCAATTTTTTTTTTCATTGATGAAAATGAATAAATGTAGGATCTGTTGCCTGTACTGTACTTAAAGTGGTATTTGAGTTTATGTTTCCTCAATATTACTACATTATTTATTTTATCATTAATAAAGTTCGGTTTATGACCTTTAAACGTTCTCATTGCTAAACATTAGTCACTAGTCATGCAGCAGTGATGTAACTGGAGTTTACTACCCCTATCCCCCCCACCCTTAGATTTCATGGGGGTGACACCAAAGATGCCACCCCGGGTGACACCAAAGATTCTGCCCTGGGTGACACTAACCCTAGCGACGGCTCTGAAACCAGTTATCCAGACATGAGTTCTGGAGATGAGAGGTACATTGCATTCACTCTAAAGGATGGGTGGGGATGCTATGGTTCATATAGTCATTTGAATTGTGATGTCCATGCACTTCTGACAAGGCAGTTACTAAATGACTGATAGTGAATGTGTTTTCTTCTTTGGGTCACCCTGCATTGGTGAGAAACAACTGATTAAAAAAAAATTATGATGTATGTTATGGAAGACTATGTATACACTGATAGTTGACACACAGTAGAGCTGAACTCCATAATTCACAGGGAGGTTCCTGGAGGTGACATGAATCCTGAAGCCACTGATAACAGAAAATTTTGCACATCTGAATTACTTAATTCTGGGGCAACATGCAGTACTGTATCTTCAAATATTTCTCTAATTTCCTTAATAGTGACACTCACAAGAAAGAATGAGCACATTTTGAGTGAAATTCTATGGATATTTTTCAATTTAGGGATAGCATGACAATTACAAAGACAATGGGTACTAAGCAAAAACATGAATAATCAAAACTATCTACTGAATAGTCTCCAGTAAAAATGTTGTACAAACGAAGCGTGTGGCTTACAAAGCAAGTGAATTCTAGGTTTCGACTAAGAAGTATATTTCATGAGATCAAGTGTAAAGTTATAGAAATAGTAATAATGCTAAGGGTATTGTGTAGCAATCATTAATACGTAAGTGTTTTACAAATCTGTGCAACATGAAATGCAGTAGGTAAAAGTTGGCTAGCAGAAGTCTAAAGCCTAGACAACAGCACATCTCATTGGACAAAATGGGGTTCAAACTCATAGCAAGCCAGTTCAAGAACTATCAGAACTATCAGGCCAATGTGCTTTCCACTGTATCACTGTGATCACAGA